AACCCCAAAAACCCACTGAGATGGCATCTCAAAGACCTAAGCATAGAGGCATGCACAATGATCCATTCATGAGGCATAAAACACAAACTCTCTAAGACATTGAAAGCATGTCAAATGCAGGTGTATGGCCACCTTTCATGGACTGAAATAACATTCAAGATGATGGAAAAGCATGGAAACATCACATGCATGGCATGGTAGGGGCCTCAAAACCCAAGGCTAGCCAAAGCATTTACACTATAGCTATACAAAACATGAGTGATATGACTATGGCAGCCCAAAAAAGTCCTAGAACAGCCCAAAATAAGAATAAAATCTTGCTGGAGCAAAACCAAAACATGCTGGAATGATGAGTCAAAACATCATGCACGTAAAGCTAGTAAGCAAGATTTGTTCTACAAGTATATGGAGCATGCAAAAGATGACCAAGCCCACTTTAGAAAGAGTTATGTCATGGAAAAACATCACCAAAAACATGCTGAAATGGACTCAACATAAGCTAGGCAAACATGCTACTTTGATGAGCCACAAATGAAATTACACTACACATACAAGAAGCATGCAAAATATGACCAAACCAGCCATGGACAGAGTCAAGGAAGGTCCTAAAAGTCACAAAAAAGGGGCCTGAACCAATCCTCAAAAGTAAAGCGATACATGCTCCTTTGATAGGCCAAAACACAAGGAAACAAAAATAAGAAGAGAGGGGGCCACCCCTTATGATTTGAGACTTCAAAACCACATGCCTACCACTGAAAATCCACTGGATTTCAGTGGCTAAAAGGCCAAACAAAACCTAGCTCAATGGCCTTAAAGCATGGCTCAAAACAAGGCCAAACAAAGCATACAAGAGGGTTGTACACCCCTAACACCAAAAAGACCTTAAACAAACTTCAAAAACACTTAAATATAGAACTTTTTTCAGTTGAAAGCAAGGCCTAAAACAATATGCAAGGATGGCCAAAATGAGGTACAAATAAATGCTAAAAAATGGGAAGAAACTCACCCTTGAAGACCAACTTCGAAACCTGCAATCTCAGGGGCCAAAAAACCAAGTTTCAGAGTTCAAGTAACCCCCTCAAGAACCTCAGCTCAAAGATGATGGTGTATCTTTATGTGTTGTAGTGCAAAAGTGCAAGAAAAATGGACTTTAGAGCACTATTCTATGCAATATAGAGAGAGAGTGAGAAATATTTATAGAGAGAGAGATACAACTCCTTCAAAACTTTCTTCAACCTCTGATATAGAAGAAGGCTCCTTCCTTATATAGAAGAATACAAGAAGAAGCTTGTTAAACAAGATTGGCAAGAGCTTCATCCCTCTATACGCGTGTATGGAGGGGAGAGGAGTGAAAACCAGCTGGCTCAAAAGATCTGGTGTGAAACCTGCTGAGACAAGGGGTCTGTCGGCTATCAGTGGTGGCCGGCAGTGGCTCATTGATGGCCGGCAGGCATCATCAATGGCCGGCAGTGGCAAAGGCATGGCCGACAGGGCCAAAAAGGGGCCGGCAATGCCTTCCACAAAGCACGCAGAAAGGGCCAATACAAGGTCCAAAAATGGGGCAGAAAGGATACTGGGTTTGGAAAGTTCAAACCTGTGACGTTCCGCCGTGAAAGTTGAGTACTCGGCGAGCAATCGAACTAGTTGTTAGGTGTACCTGCAAGCACAACCAAGTCTTTAGGACGGTCAAAAATGGGGTGTCTACAATGAGTCTTTAACCCCTTGATGCTTTGTTTTTGATTAAGTCTTTGGCCACTGTTTATGATTTAGGTCTTTCCATATTCGGTTTAAGTCCATTAAGCATTGTTTTGCATGCCCCTTGTCAGGTGCCCTTTACTAGCTTTGATGCCTTAGCTTCTAAACTTGCCATACATGCATTGTTTGCATGATAGAATTTTGTGCATGCCATCCTAGTATTGGTAGAATAGCATGTTGTTTGCATGTTGTTGCATTGCATTGTATTTGCATGTTTGCATTTTGTTACATTGCATGTTGTTTGCACGCTCATGTTGCATTGCATTGTGCTTGGCATGCTTGAGTTGCACTGCATGTGTTTGGATTGAACGTCAATCCAAATACGAGAAACGAGGGACATTTCATACTTGAAGTGATGAAACGTGCCTCATTTCTCGGTCGCTGACCCTCTTGATCAAGCATGATAGAGGTTAAGGCCCTTATGTTGTTATTTGTGTATTCATTGACATTGAATTGTGCAAACTTGGCTTCTCGGTCATCGTGCATTGAGATGCTCGTTTGGTGGCCCGAGAGTCGAGTACCGCACTCCCTTGAGCTTAAGAAATGATAGGGAGGGTGGTTGTGCACACATACCTTGTAAATACATTGTTGTGCCCCTTCTTGTTCTCTGTTGCAGCAAAATGGAGCTTGGCAACATTTTCTGGTTGGCAGACTAGTAAAAGTGGCTGGCCGACCACTTTTTCTGGTCTGCAGCATGTGTAATTGGTCTACAAGTGGTCTACAACACCAGTAAGTGGTCGGCAGCCTTCCTGGAGGTCTCCATGGTGGAGTAGAAGCTATTTGGAAGTTTGTGCAGTGTTCTGAGGTCAAATGCAAACAGAGGCAAGTTGGGGCATAGTAATGGATTTCCGAACGAGGCGATCGAGCATGCATGCATTTCTCGCCCCGAGGCTCCTTTTAATTGCTTTGCTTAGCTAGTTAGCTATTTGGTTCTGTACTTAAGTAGTTAATGCACTTAGCTATTCATTTGTGTTTGTAATTAGTTAACTTGTTAGTTAATTAGCTTCGTTGTGTAATAATTAGCTTAATTAGCTTAGATTAGCTAGTTAGCTTATTATTCAGACCCTCCGTCGAGAGGGCGTATTGTTGTAATAAGTGTGCGTATGTGTGATACATGTCTTTTAACCCCATTTCTTTCTCCTTTTTACTTATTAGCTTTTGATGGTTAGTTTTAGGGCATATATCAATTAGCATCCTTATGCTTGCATGCGTGCATCATTCATTTGTCTTGCATGCACCGGGCTCGGCACATCATTCAAACTGCATTGTATTTCAATACCAATTTGAATACATGTTATCAAATTGCATTCATATGCCATTCTAGATAGCCGAGCCTATTTTAGTTGTATTTTTGCATGTGTTGCATTAGGCATTCTTGACATAGCTAGGATTATGCATTGATTACTAACTAGCTTCTTTTTTGGCTCAGAGTACTAGGTAAGCTTTTATGCTTTAGCATCCTTGCATGCGTAAGTGTTGCCATGTTTAGCATGCTTGTCATGAGGCTAACTACTTAATTGATTAACTGAATGAATGCTTGTGGATGAAGGCTTTATTGCTTGATTTGGAACAATTCATCGAAATATGCATTTTAAGCCCACTTGATAGTGGCAAATCATGTTTTCTAAGTCCACTTGAGGGTGGCAAATCCGCATTTTAGCCTACTTGAGGGTAGCAACTTCAAACCACTTTAGAAAAACAAACATGAGATGTTTTGTTCCAAATTGAGTGATTTAGTCTATACTTGTGTGCTGTGCGCATCATCTAGTAAGGTTAGCTAATAAACCGAAATAAGAACACATGTGTTTTCAAAAACAACGTATCATGTTAGTAGAGGCCGATCTTTGATCGGGCAAGCGGGGGTGCTCATTTCAGGACCTTCCCCTCTCGTACCCAAGTTCCCGAGCCGAGGCAACTTTGGTGATGATGGACACGTGGCCTTAGGCACGAGTCAGGGTTTCCTAAATTTCCCAAAAAAAAAAAATATTTAGGTGGCGACTCTGAAATCTGGCAAAGCAGTCCATGTTTGGCGCTTTTGATTAAAATTGATTTTTCAAAATGATTTGTCGGATTTGGACTCTTTGGTGATTTATCAGTCTTACATTACACTTTGTGAGATTAGATTCAGAACTGTGACAGGAGTCCAAACTGCAGTAGCTAAGAACTACAATTCACGCCCTCGCGTGCAGAGCGGAGTTCGGGCAGTCTACAGTAACCTTACCCCCTTATAGGGGTGTTTTGGCTCTCGCTTATCTAGTATGTGCTTTACAGTGAAACTGTACAGGAATGTGCATAGCATTTGCAAGTTTGGTATCTGTTTTGGGGGCCGGAATTCAGTGTGGAGTGTAGTCCTACAGCTTTGGTCACGTCTGTGTTGATAACATATTAGTTGAGGTGCTGTGCGGTTTTTGATTACTACTTTCTTTTTGCTAGGTAGTTTATCACCATAGCTTCAGAAAGTTTGGATATCCCCCAAGTACTCTGGACCCGAGTCAAAAGGCTTTGTAAAGTTGGGGATCTTGTTTAGGGACAACCCGTGTTTACTTCACTTCTACCAGTTACAAGATAGCGAAGAATCAGGCAGAGCTCACCGGTTCAATTTTTACAGTAGTCACCCTTCAATTCACTTATATCCAGTCAGGTTCAGGGACAGTCATCCACTTCTAGACTAGTGCAAGATCACTCGCCTATTTCGATGACACAGTATCCCCCAGTCAGTACAGAAGAATTGATACATCATCTACAACAAATAGTTGAAACCCTACAGCAAGATGCTGTTTGTCAGGCCGAGGTTATAACCAGGCTACAACAATAGCAACCACAGCCGGCGGTGGCCTCTGCATCCCATGCACCTCCCACAGGTATCCCAACACCTAGAGCCACTACTCATACTGCCAATGTCCAAGAGAATCAAGGCAATCCAGTAAAGTCAATCCCAACACAAGCCTCCAAAGCACCTGTGTATCAACCTGAAGCTCTGTTTGAGTTTGAGGTTGACCCAACTGTACTCAAGGTCAATAAACTAAAGAAGCTATTCAAGAGAGCACAAGGTGTTAATTCCATCCCGGATATAGAGGATGGGTATACCGATTCTGCAGTGACATTGCCAGATTAGTTCAAAATGCTGCCATCTTGATTGATTCGACGGCTCAAGAGATCCAATGGTTTACCTTCGGCTGTTTTTGGACATCTTGCGGCCAATGGGCCTGACTAGACTACAGAAGTTGTCTCTCTTTGGCCGTACCATGTCTGGTATAGTGGCCATTTGGTATGCGAAGTTAGAAGATTTTGTCAACCAAAATTGGGAGATGATGGCCGAGGCCTTTATTGCACAGTATTCGTATAACACTCAGATCGAGGTCACAACTCGTGATCTCAAAACAACACGCCAAGAGCCGAAGGAGGGCTTTTCTGAATTTGTGATAAGGTGGAGAGCTAAGGCCTCAATGATGACCACAAGGTCTTCTGAGAATGATCAGATTAGGATGGTTGTCCGGAATTTGCACGGCAAGTTACTACAAAAGATGTTCGTCTTACCTCTATTCACATTTACAGAACTCCATGAGATGGGGGTGCAAATCGAAAACGCCATGAAACAGGGGCTAATTACAGATGAGAAGGAGCCAGCAAAAAGGCCGTTTGTTCGCAGTTCCAATGCTGCCGGGGGTAGCACAACTGCAAGGCCGTTAGATGTAAGCATTGTCACCACAACCAAGACTATCGACCCCTTTGCCAACACAAGCTCACAAACACCCTCGAATCCTAACCGATCCCATAGGACCTTCAATCAATTGTATATGACCCTATCTCAAGCCATGAAAGTGCTAGTCAAGAAAGGGCACCTCAAACCATTAGAACCCCGCCCATTACTTGATCCTCTTCCATCCAAATACAACCCCACAAAATACTGCGCGTTTCACTAACAGCATGGTCATGATACTGACCAGTGCTTTCGATTACGTCATGAGATTCAGGATCTCATTAACAACAAGGTGATCGCTCCACTATAAAAACCTAACGTGACCACAAATCCATTCCCATCCTACAAGCAAGTCCTCCCGCCTCGAAATCTCAACCTATTTCATACACTAACCACCTCTTATGACCCCAACGTATATATTACCCCCTCCCACCTACCAAAACCGATGTTGTTCATTCCAGAAGGTGCAGAGGTGATCCTTACAGTGGAAAAGAAGTCTGCCTTAGAGGACGGTACAAGTCTGTTGCCAGAGTGTTCGGAGGACTTGCCTGATGGGGCATATAATCTAAGCTGCTACATTGTGCCAACCGATCAAATCAAACCCGAACTAGTGCTACTGACCTGGGTAGACATCATTGCCGTAAGGGAAGGTGGCTCGAGCTAGGGGTTTGATGATTTGGTGAAACTCGGGGAGGATTTAGATAACCTACAGTTTTTTGACGAGTAGGATTAGGGGATGTGCAGATTGGCTAGTTCGACTTAAACGGATCAATTGACAACTTTGGATGGCTGAGTGATGAGCTAGATAAGGAGGAAGGCACTGAAAAGAAACCGAAGGGAAAAAAATTAGGGATTGCTATAGTGGCCGAAAGGGCCGATGAGAAAGGAAAGCTATCGGAGAACACTATCATGAAAAATTTAGCTCAGGAACTGTGCGCTGTGAGCATTATGGACTCGGAATAGTATATTGAATTATGCATTGAGCATCACATTAGCAGTCATCTTAAAGACCTTCATAAATATACACCAAGATGTCAGGAACAAGCAAAAACTTATCTGATGATGTTTTAACAACCTACCAAGCCACATGATCAATACTGTTGGGAATTGGAACCCAGCATATTGCTCTGCTGGGGATTGAGACCAAGAATCTAACAATTGAAAAGCATTAGGGAATAAGAAACTTCACATTCAAATACAAAGCAAATTGCATAACAAAGGAAATTACTACCTGATTCATGTACTGAGGGTTGGAGAGGAGAACTTGCATCATCTGTGATACAACTGGATTTTGTGCAAACTAACTTAATGAAGCAGTATCCTGCATGGAACCAAACATCTCTGGGAGACCAAGACCACCAAGGCCACCAACTGCCGGCAGCCTAGCATCCCCAGCAGGATTCGATCTTGTAGTGGAGTTTGTTTGAGCACCACCAGCTGCCATATTCACGATAAGTTAACAATATATTAGCAACAATTATGTGCAATGGAAGACACAGAAGAGGCAGATGGGGTCCATGGCCTCCAAAACTTTAGAAAATTCAAGGGGCCCAATACATTTTTTTGGATATTTATAACAAAAAATAGTAGTTTGCCTCCTTCCCAACGTCTAAGTAACTTTTACCTTGCCCCCTTCTAAAATTTCATCTTAATTTAACTCCATTCTAGTATTTCCAATTAGTCATCTATCTAACTCTTAGATTTTTTTCTTATCTTATCTTACATTTTTTCTGGAAAAGTACCCAAAGTAATTGAGAATTGCATTTGGGATCAAACTTTTCTTTGTGTTAGTGGTGGTAGTGGTGATGGTGGTAGCATTAATGGAGTGGTGGAGGTGATGGTAATAATAGTGGAGGTGATGATAATAATAGTAGAGGCATTTAAACGGTTACTTATGTTCAACTCATTCAAATTCAATTTTAATTAAGTTTAAAAAGTATAACTATTAATAAAGTGAGTCATGTTTTGAATTTCAAATTTTAAGGTTTTCCTGAGATTTGCACACAACTAACTCAGGTTTATGAGATATTTATCAAATCTCAAAACACTTCACAACCATTGAATTATGTTTCGAGATTCCTGTGATCTAATTACAAAAACAACAGAAGGACTTAAGGATGAAAGATCCTCTGTCAATTAATCCTTACCTTTGACAGGGATGTAATCCTATGTTTGATCCGTTAAAATGACTAGTCACTTTTGTATGATTCATTGAACCAGCAATAGACACACGCATATGACAACTTGCTCTTATACAAACCAACAGATTCATTGTTAGAGATAGATATAAAGCCTATTCAAATGTGTAGACAAAATCAGCCTAAAAATCTAGAAAATATTCAAAGTGTAGACAAAATTCAGCCTAAAAATCCCATGCCAACATTTTCTAATGCATGGAAATTATATATATATATATATATCTATATGTTGGAGTATAAATTGTCATTTAAATCATCTAATTTAACTTAACCTATGAAATCCCATAATAATTACTATTATAATAATAAATAATTAAAAAAACTAAGAAAAAAGGAAAAAGAAGCTTGAGACCTGATCAATTTACAAGATTTCAATTGATTGAATTTCAACCAACCTTTCTCATGATAATATTAAAAGTAATGTCAATTGATCTCCAAGTCATCATCATGTACATCATCAATTAATTGAATTTGATGAAAAAATTGATGAACAATTGGAGATGCACAACCAAGAGAGACAAAACTGATAAAATTATAGAGCATTATGAGAAATCCTAATGAATCTAACCTCTAAGAGAAACAAAGAACTCCGAATATGATTGCCTAGAGTTGGAAACTAACCTGCTTAATATGTCCTTGAGGAAAATAGAACACGCGTTCGACTTCACCAGGCACTGTCGCGAGCGGACCAGCACAAGCGCGCCATAGCTCCGTGTAAAGCGTTGTTACAGATTCTTCTTGGGACAGATTCCATTACAGAGAAGTACATAACTCGGATCATTACAGAGAGAGTTGAATCGATGAAGATGTGTTTAGGCTTACCGATTATGAAATCTTCAACAGTAGTGGACTTGAGAGAGTTGAATCGATCAACAGATTCAAGCGAGAGAGGCAGTGAGATTCGAGTGAGAGAGGCAATGAGATTCGAGCGAGAGTCAAGCGACAGATAGATTTTGAAAGGGAGAGAGAGAGAGTTCAGATTTGAGAAATAAGAAGAAAAAAAAAAGGGATTGAGAGGGAGTAAAAGAGAGTCAAGTTTTACTGATTTGGGTTTTTGTTTTTTATAAAGTTAAGAACACGATTGGGTCAGGAAAATGAGATTGTCAAATTAGATTTTGATGGTAAAAATGATTTTTTGTGACTGTTAAATAATCAGTCGCAAAAAAGTAGACGCAAAAAGTCATATTTCTAGTAGTGAGGTCACCAAGCAGATCGAGGCAGTGTTCTTGTTGGTATCTGAGTATCTAACATGGTTGGCCAATATTGTTCTAGTTTCGAAGAAGGATGGCAAAATTAGAGTTTGTGTCGACTTTAGGGATCTGAATAAGGCCAGTCCAAAGGATGACTTCCCTTTTGCTACACATAGACGAGTTAATAGAATTCACCGCTGGCCACGCGCTGTTGTCATTTATGGATGGGTTTTCCGGGTATAACCAGATTCTGATGGCACCTGAGCATAGGGAGAAGACCACTTTCACTACTCCATGGGGCACCTACTGCTGTCGAGTCATGCCATTTGGGTTGAAGGACGCTGGGGCTACCTATCAAAGGGCTGCAACTACCATTCTGCATGATATGATCCACAAAGAGGTTGAGGTGTACGTGGATGACATGATTGTCAAATCAAAGGAGCGAAAAGGCCACTACACCGCATTAGAGAAATTCTCTCAGCGGATTAAAGAGTATAGATTAAGGCTGAACCCCCAAAAATGCACCTTTGGGGTGACGATAGGGAAGATATTGGGTTTCCTAATCACGCAGAGGGGAATTGAAGTAGATCCTTCCAAAATCAAGACCATCTTAGAAATGACACTACCGAGGACTGAAAAAGAGGTACGCAGCTTTCTATGTAAAGTGCAATTCATAAGGCGGTTTATTTCAAAATTAACCTTGACTTGTGAACCACTATTTGGTCTCCTGAAGAAAGGGAAGAAATTTTAATGGGACGATCACTGTCAATTTGCCTTTGAGTAGGTCAAGCAGTATCTCCAGAATCCTCCTGTGTTGTCGCCACTAGAGCTGGGAAAGCCTTTGATTCTATATTTATTAGTAACAGACTCGACTATACGGTGCATGCTAGCTCCAGAATCTGAAGCCAAAGTGGAGAAGATCATCTACTACTTGAGTAAAAAGATGCTAGACTACGAGACCCGATACACTCCCCTAAAGAAAGCTTGCCTAGCCTTAGTATGGGCTATCGGGAAGTTGAGGCACTGCTTGTTAGCTCACTCTGTAATCCTGGTTTCGAGATTAGATACCATCAAATATCTCTTTGAGAAACAGGCGCTTACGGGTAGGCTGGCTCGTTGGTTACTTCTTTACTCCAAATTTGATCTCAAATATGTCACCCGCAAGTCAATTAAAGGAAGAGCTGTAGCGGAATTCCTGGCAGACCACTCGGTAGAAGGAGATGAAGTAGTGAAATACTTGTTCCCAGATGAAGACATTCTGCAAGTTGAAGAGGAAACTTGGATGATGTACTTTAACGGAGCGTCCAATCAGTACGATTATGAGATAGGTGTGTTGCTGATAGCACCCGATGACTCCCATATACCTTTAGCTCCGGTTCAAGGTGTCTAACAACGAAGCAGAATATGAAGCGTGTATTGCTGGTCTAGAAGCTGCTCTAGAACTAAGGACAATAAGGTTGGGTGTCATCGGGGATTCAAACTTGGTTGTTTCTCAAGCAAACAGAGACTGGAAAATCAAAGAAGAGAAGATGAAGGTTTACTATCAAACCTAGATATTCTGATTCCTAGGTTTGAAAAACTGACATTCACGTATCTATTGAGAGAGAACAACAGGTTCGATGATGCTTTAGCAACTCTATCTTCTATGGTAGACATCCCACTTGGAGTCTGGATGCGTCCGATTATTATCGAAAAGAAATACACGCCGACTTATGAAACTATTGTCGCGATAGATGAAATGCAAGACAAAAAAAACCCTGGTATTATGATATTTGGAACTTCTTGGAAAAGGAGATCTATCCACTAGGGGTAAATGCCAAGGACAAACGAGGAAT